CCCCCCCCTTTCCTCCAGCCCCTTTCCCAGCTGGGTACAATTTCACTGCGAGAAATACAATAATCCTACAGGGGGGCCGCCCGGCGAATCGAACTTCCAAAATAGCTGGAAACTGCGCTGTTCGACCTAGAGGCTTCACGCATACGGGCGCGCACAGGTCAGTCTGTATGATAAGAACCGCTGGGCGAGCTGTGCCCTGTTTGCATATGGCGAGCCCGGCGAGCGCGCCCGCGCAAGTACACTGTGGACATGCAATAAAATCACCCCAACACCTCTACTTCGACGTCGGTTTTGCGTCTCTGGGTCTCCCGGGTCGCCCTGGCCCCGAGCCTGGCCCACCCACCTTGAGGGAGGTGTGGACGTAGCCGAGGATGGAGCAGAGCAGGAGCGTGTACAGGCAACTGCCCGGCTGGTCCGGGCACAGGAGCCGCTCGGCCGCCAAGTTGAACAGCACCTTGTGCCACAACAGAATGAGCGCCGATTAGTACAGCGATCCACGAGAAAACATCGGAGCCGTTGAATGGTCATGGAACGATGAAGCGACGGTGCGCGGGCTCGGCGCGCGAGCTCTTTCCCCTTTCCCTACCTGGCTCGTGGTGGTGTGAAGCCGCTGCAGGGGCAGGTAGGCGTTGTGGCAGGCCTTGACGCAGCTGTAGGCCCCCTGCAGGCACTCCCGCACCGACAAGCTGTGGCGGGCCGTGCATATCCTGCGAGGCACAAGAGAAATGAATAATATCGAAACGATATCGTCTTTCGACGTCGATTCGACCATTTTTATACTTTTGTTTCGACGTCGATTTGACAGTCATTTCTCGAGCGCAACCTGTGGCTTGTACTTTGCTGTGCTGTGGGGACCCTTTCCCCACCCATTGTTAAAAATTATGTACCCAGAAACAGAATCCATACAGATCCTCCTGTCCTTTCCTCCTGCGGTCATAATCTGTTCGGCTGGTATTTGAATGACAAATACTTGACCGTACTTGTAAAGAACTTTCCCCTAGTATGATGTACAGCAATCCACACTAGGATCACACTGTTTAAAAGATTACCAGACCATTCTGTAAGTGATTTACTGTTGTGATTTTCGACAGAGCCAGCTCACCTCAGCCAGCCGATGACGACGGTCGCGGAGAGGAAGCCGGTCGCCACGGGCACCACGAGGGTGACGTACAGGAGCACGGCCACGGACAGCACGGCCACGGGCACGGAGCGGGCCGCGAGCGGCAGCAGCAGCAGCAGGGCGAGCAGGCAGCCTGCCGAGAGGCCAGCGATGTGGGTGTGTACACAATTATTTCTACTTACGCAACAGAGGCCTCGTGGTTAGTCAAGTCAAGTGTGCTACGGGGGTCATTCCCCACACTGCTAAAACTTCATAAGGTTGTTTTAACAGTGCATCAAGAAAGCAGATATTTTGCAAAGCTATGTCAAAGTCAAAATAATTTTGTCCGCGATACCCAAGCAGGCATGATCACGGGTCTCTTATTGTGTTATTACTTTGAACTGTGCAGAACTCCGCGGGAGTAATGTTCGTACGGGCTAATTGCCCCCCCCCTTTTCCCCCCTGAGTCTGTACACACCTGTCAACTAATTGTCTCGACACCTGCAGACTGACACCTGCAGTCTGGTCAATATCCTCTCCGCCCAGCTGTAAAGGTGGCGAGGCAGACTGGTGTGTCGTTCGAACGAAGCCTCTTTTACTCACCTGCGGTGGCGTGTCTGCTCTCCAGGTTCTGCAGGGCGGCGCGGTACCGGTGCGGGTTGCCCACCATGACCTCCTCCGCCCCGCCGCCCGGCTCCTCCTCGACCAGGATCACGATGACGGCGCGCGGGGCCGGCGCGGCCGGCGCGGCGGGCGCGGCGGGCGCCACCGGCACCGGGACGAGCAGCAGCAGGAGGCGGGCGCGTCGCGGGTCGGGCCGCGGGCCATGACGGTCGTCGGCGAGCTCAGGTGACGGGCGTCCGGGTGGTCCGGGCCGAGGGGCGAATGCATCACATTCTCGTTGAGGGATCAGCTGACGTGGCCGGCGCACCGGGGGACGGGTATAGGGGGGGGGGGGGGGGGGGGGGGGGGGGGGGGGGGGGGGGGGGGGGCTGATCTGGCGCCGCGGACGCACTTGCGGGTCAGGTTCGGGATCGCTGCTCCGGAAGAGGGAAGGCCACTAAAGAGGTCGTTCGACAGCGGGTGAGAAACTTTTTGGCGGTCAGTAGATTCTTACAAGCCGTCCTGCTGCACCACGTACCTGCTAACCACCACCACTGTTATGGCGGGATGCCGTTACTTCGCGAGGGTTCATCTTTTTGGCACCCAGGGGCGTTTTCAGGGTCTATCTTTAGAGCGGAGAGAACGGGCCGACAGCGCCGTCTGTTGAGCAGACGGCGAACGAGGCGCAGTGGCGGGAAGAGTTTCGCACCCAGTCACCTTATCAGACTATACGTGTCTTCCTTCAACCAAGAGAGGACGAGGAACTTCAATGAGGGGCTTGCAACTGCTTGTTCATGGCGAACTGGATCCACCAGCCAGTGGCTTATGCGGGCTAATGCAATTTACTACACCTTTAGTGTGGAAATTTGTGTAGCTAGACAACTGATTTTGGTAGCATACTCATACGTGACAACACTGTGGTCATAGCAGATATGTAGGGGGAAAATTCTGCATTGTATTGCTCGACCTCGGCTGCAGGGTCGTGGGAAAACGCGGCTTCTGCTCCTGCTGTAAGCCCAGCTGCTCCGCCCCCCCTCCTCCCCCTCCCTTTTCTTCTCGCCCTCACTGGGTTTCCCACCCTCAGCACTACTTAGCACCTGCAAGGCAGAGATGTGCGTTCGGTTCCTAACGAAAACGCAAATGACAGAAATGAAGATTGCAATTTTAAAGCGTTACAGTAGAACACAGTCACAAATTTCCAAAAATGCTTCAAAAACTTTTCACAAGCACCATATCAGACACAGAACAGGCCAGAATAAAAACACATTACTGTTATTAAAATTCTGTAATTATTAAAATTCATTTCTGTACAATTGAATATATATATTTTAAATAATATGACTAGCTTAAAGAGAATTTTTACAGAACAGACCTTGCATCCACTTCTTTTTCTCATCCTTATCCTCTCTAGTAAAAGCTTGAGCCCTACCTAGGGTCCATATAACAATGAACATCATTCAACTGTATGAGGGGCAATACATTCTTTGCAAAGGGTACATTTACATTTACCTTACACAGACACAGGCATGCTGTTTTGTCAAAGGTGTTTGAAAATATGTAGTACTATTTCAGTTAATCGTTACTCTTAAGAAACTGTTGATACTGGTCTTCATCCATTAACTCATCGACTTCTCCTGGTTTACTCAGTTCTACTTTAAATAACCAACCTGAAAATGTAAGAATTCAACTTTTAGAATTTATAATTTCCTTAGAAGCTTATGAGAAAGTAGCTAATAAATTTGAAATTTACCTTTTTCATAACAAGACATGTTAATAAGACCAGGTTTCTCTTCGACTGCTGCATTTTTTTCTACCACTTTTCCTGATACAGGACTGTATAGTTCGGAGGCAGCTTTAACACTTTCTAATGCACCACATTCCTCTAGAAGAAAAAAATACTAAGTTGTAACTGTCATTTAGAGAGGGAAAAAGTTTAACAATGAGCATTAAATGCACAAACCTTTCTGTGTAACATCCTGTCCAACATCTGGGAGCTGAGCATAAACAACATCACCTAAGGCATCCTGAGGCAAGTAACATGATGGTGCTAATTAGATAAGACTCCTTTCGCTCCACTGTGGTGATGAAATAAATAGTACAGTCCTAAGATGAAATTAAAAATAGATTACCTGAGCGTAATGTGAGATTCCAACGGTACCAATTTTCCCATCCATCTGAATCCACTCATGTTTATCCGTGTACTTGCGTCCTGAAAAAAAAAGAGTAACAAATAAAAATGATATCTCTCTTCACATATACCAAGATAATCTTAAAAGAAAATGTATCTCAATATAAATGGCCCAAACCAGATTGGGTTATTACGTGCAGCTGAATAGGATGCTACAGCAAAAGTTATCAGTATGCCATGACCTCATGATTGGGTAATCCGATAACTCTACAAAATGTGTAGGGGTTTAATTAAGAGAGTGGCTTTCACTGCTAACACCACAGATTGAATCAATTTTGAAGCAGCTCTGTTTTTTTAAATTAATATGCTGAAAGAGCATAAATAAGAGGGCATTTACACTGACCAAACTTAAAAATTGAAGAAATAATGTGTTACAGAAAAGACAACAGCTGTCATTAAAATAGAAAATTACAGCTCAAAGAGCAATATTTATTTTATTTCAAAACATTTTTCCTATCTAAAACAGGAAAGAGTCTAGAAAGAAAGGAAAATAAAAACAATGATGCAGCTCTATTCAATGCAAACACATTCCATACAAGACTTTTTTTTTACACAAAATTAATGAACACAGCGGCTCTTGCCCTTGCTATGGTAGATGAATACATTAACTAAGCCACATATAACTCACCCAGGAGAGTTTCTGACGAGCTGAATAAGCGCCTGTGGCACAAATCCCAGTCTCTAGTGCTGAGTCTCGATGTGGAGTTGTTGGTTAGACACTTGGCCACCTGATACGCCCGGCCGGCACGCTGCGTCGCTCTCAGAACGTGAACTCCAGACACCATTTTCCACTTGCAATGATTTATCCTCTGAAACAGCGACGCGTCCTCACATGTACTTTGAACGCTCTGTATTTCACACCAAACTCATCCAAAGCGAACTGATCATCTGATCCTGGCGGTCGTCTGCTCGAGGCCCACACTTCGTCTGCTCCAACAAATGATTGCGTCAACACACTTGTTGCCAACCTTCCCACAAAGATAAGACGTCGCATTTCGGACAGCGTTTCGATAGCTGTCGCGTGCTGATTACGTTCTCATGAGTCTAAATATGGAATAAATGTTAGAAAGACTGAAACGATCAAGCCGAAATCGAGGATGTTTAGTTTCATGTGAATATTTGTGTTGGCCATAGTGCAGCGCTATTCGAATCGAGGCGCGCGAATGACCGAAGGTTACAGCAGCCGGGGCGAACCTTCATCTCTTATCAGCTGGGAGAAAGTCGGGAATTTTTATTTTGCAATCTATGGAAGAGCACGTATTGAAGACATCTGATAAAGCGAGCCGCAGGCTGCGAAGAAATTGTGTCACGTATACCTAAACGACAGACATTTCAGAATGTCTGATACGACAAATAGGTTTGTTGATTGTTGTTCAGTGAACTGGTAGCATGGTGCAATGCCCATCCATTAAACTTCCGTCCCCCGCAGAAAGGGAAAACACTTGCCAATATCTCTTTGAGGCTCTTTCAAATGCAAAAATAAATAAAACCACTACTTGGACGTTGGGTGGAACACGTCAGAAAGGAAAAATTCTACTGCCCCTTACAAAATTAACGCAGAAAAAGAAAGGGGGAGTACACCAACCAAAAGAAGTCGTCGAATTCATAAGAGTGTAGACGTGTTTGTTGGTGGCGACCGCGATCTGATGCCCAGCAATGCCCAGGGTATCTCTCTTTCCTTGGCTGAGCTCGTCTCCCTCTGCTGATAAGTCGAGAGGAGGGACCCGCCCCTGGCTCACACGCAGCTCCTCCCCGGGCTGTGTTATGTATCGGGAGCGCGGGGAGAGGTCACCGAGGTCTCGCCGCGGGGGGTCCGCTGCCAGCCAGTTGCATCACGAGCGGAGGCTTTCACAGCACAGCGTCACAGAGGCACAACAACACGCCGACGTGTGGGTGGGTGGGACAGACAGGGCGTCCGATAGATAGATGCAACACAAGTCTGTACAGATGTGGAATGATTTATTTTCCATAGTCGCATCCAATGCCGCTCGTCAGGTGCGACCCGGCTACATTGAAACAGCAGACAAATACTGAAAAGATTGCCTCACCAAAACTAGCGGCCATATGACAATGATGGGTCGCCTCTGACTTTTAATAGGGAGCTCAATAAGAGAACGGTTTTAAGGGCCTCCCAAGAGCCAAATTAATTATAAAATTTATAGACTTATCACACTTAAATAAAAATTCTCCCTTACTTAGGACGTAACTATGACAATGGAGTGGATTAACTCCTTTCTATGACACAATAAAAAATGATTAACAATATTCAGTGCAACATGATTGCACACAAGGATGGAATGGAATGACAAATTTGAAACTGCTGAAAACTGAGGGACATTAGTTATAGGTTTAAAAAATTTGACACAAATCTTTGGGTGTTACCTTGTAATTAGAGGCCTATGGTATAAGATCGACCATTGGGATTGTGAATAGGGCCAGGCCAGGGTTTGGAGATGCACCATTCATACCAGACATTTTTAGAGTTATTGACACGCCAAAAGTTGACTTCCAGAATATCGCCTTCTTTGACATGTATTGGCTCCTGGCAAAATAAAGATAAAAAATTAGTTACAAAGTGTTGTGCAGGACGAATGGTACAAAGTTTGATATCAGACCTAAAATATACATACTCTGACAGGAAAGAAAATGGGAAACCAGCTGAACATGCCAGGGGAGTGAGTGGCAGGGTTGATGCTCAGCATTACATCCTTATAGAGCACAGTTTCAAAATAACCAGCAAAACCATGCAAGACACCATTTTGTCTTATCTTGAATTGTAACTTTTTAAAACGAGTATTATCAATTGGAACATCTAAAAATCAAAACAAAAATAAAATCAATAAACAATGTAATAAAAGAATATCAGAGATTCAATTCAAGTACTAAGCACTTACCTTTATTAGGATGATCGAATTGGAATAAAGGTTGAGTATCTGACAGTTCTAATCTGTTCTGTTGGTGCACTACATAAGGGGTTTCAAAATGCTTCAAGGGGTGCTTGTCTTGTTCTTTACTCAATCGCACCTTGTGATGAAAGAAACAGAAACGTTAAGTATCATGCATAGAGATGATTAAAGTAGTTAAGCATCCAGAAAATACATGAACAAATTTAATTCTTACCTCATTGTAAAGCTTAGAAGATTGAATTGGACACAAAAATGAGGTGTACTGGGAGGGAATACTGATACCATCATCACGAAGGAATTTTTGGGCACCATCTAAGCACTCTGGAGAGAGCTCATTGTCACCAAAAGATCCCAAAAGTTCAGATATAATAATGTCTGCCTTTTCTGGGGCTTCCCAGTGCCTCATATCACAGGAGACAACTGTAACTCTTTCATGCCATGTTTCCTCTTTCTGAGATAACAGCCTAGGACATAGCATGTCTAATATTACACCAAAATTTTATCTTAATTACAGAAAATTGATAAAAAATAAATTAAGTACTTACGTAACAATGGCATTTGGATTCTTCTCAACTGCATAAACATTCACTTTGCGCTGGGCTTTGTCAGCTGCATTAAGTAAAGCTCTCACTAAGGGACCTCTTCCTGCACCAACCACCATTACTGTTCTGAAATTAGAATGGAGGGAAAAACATGGTTACTAGGAAACAGTTTTAAGGTAGAAAATAAGAAAAAAATTCTCAAAAATAGATTACAAGTTCTTACAAAGTTTTATCAGCAGCTTGGTCTTCCGGTACACGATCTACAATGGCTTTCAACATAGCATTTTGGTATTCTGTGTACTTCACAGGGTCTTTTTCAAACACTTCATAAGTGTGTGATTCAAGATTATCCATCAGAGGCTGTAGAGGGCATTGAAGGAAATCTTCATACCCACGTGCAAACCCAACAAGAGGGTCACTTAATCTTACATTCTATAACATAAAAACAAAAGTTAGAAAATCACTAATCAAATCATCAATTAGAAATCACTTGATCTTGATTGTAATAAAATTTCACAGCAATTACCTGCCAAAGATGTTCAATATATTGCTGGTAATACTGAACTGAACCATGCATGACAGAACCAGTGACAACTAATTGGACTCCAAGAGGTACAAATTTGCGCAACAGTGTTTGGTGTGCTCGAGAAAGGACTGGGTAACCCTTCTTATTGGTCAAAAAGAGAGATGTTGGCAGAATAAGACAACGTACAGGTTCACCCAGCCAACGATCAATTTCCTCAGTTGATGGAAGATCAGCAGAAACTTCTAGCGCAACACCTAAGCGCCTATTGTAATTGCAGACAGATCTAAATACATTCCACCTAGAAAGATAACATATAGTATACAGCATTCAAAAACACAGTTCAGCAGTTCTCTTTGAAAGGGTGATGCAAAAATTGAAGCTTACCACTCCCATGGATTGTTTTCTTTTTCTTTCACCAAATCCTCTTTGTTGGGAATGTCCTTACGATATTCTAAAGATTGAACAAAAGGACTTTCCATAGGAACTCTTAGCCAAATCTAAAATTTTAAAAAACGGACATTTAAAAAAAAAAAGTAAAACCATTTGTGAGCAGAGAGAAGATGCAACCCTCTAATTGCTTTACCTGATAGCTGTAAGGATTAACAATTTTGGAATACAGTATGCGTGCTAAGTTTACATTATTAATAGATGTTAGCTGCAAAGTAACAGCACATAAATTAAGATGAGAGGCATATGTCATCTCCTGAGCAAGTAGTTCCTCACTTTGACGTCGATATGTGCTGTCCTCACTGTCAACATCAATGTAAGAGGACATTTTGCCAACAATCATATTCGTCCAATCTGTAAGGAAAAACAGATTTAAAATAGGAGAAAATTAAGGGTGAAAGAGAAGTTTTGGATTTACTATGCCAACAGTAATCTATAAGCCTACCAGAACTTTGTAGCAATAAATCAGACCGAGTCAAGGGGCCTTGTCGGTTCTTTCCTTTGCCAGACAGAAATTCTCGCTTATAGCGGGGATGAACTATAGGCATCATGGTAAAGTCATATCTACAAATCAATAAGTGGGTTAATAGTTGCAACAAAGAGAAAATAAACAATTGAAACAGTAAAAATTAATAGATTTAAGTTCCGTACTTGTTTTCTGCTGAGTATGCCAAACATTGACGAATATCTAGCACCGAAACGAAGTCCAAACCACATGAGGCCTTACGACCTGAATTATTATCCTGGTTTGCCATCTCACCTGTCTGAAAACAAACATAAAGAGATGAACATTTAATACGGAAGCCAACCAACAGAGGGCAAAACAATATTGACTACAGCCCTCTCAGGAAGACAAAGTCATTCGTTGACGCGACAATGCGGATTCAAAGAGAGCGAGAGCAAATGAAATCCCAATGAAACGTCAAATATCTGTTCGCAGATATTTTAAATTACAAACGGGAATTACAGGCCGTGCCGGTATACAAAGGAAGGTTAAGGGCCCAACATACACACAAGAAAGAAACGTTATCCAGCAATGACTATGAATAAAAAGGGTTTGAAAGTCGTGTGCAATTACCAATGTAACGTCTTGTGAGTGATTCAAGTTCCTAGATTAAAACTTTCAGTGAAAACTTATGCACAGGCTCCCCTGAAGAAAACCACGACCTGTCCACCACGACCACCTGGATCACTGTATTCCTTTCTTTCCACGCGAGAAACATGTGGAGTGCGATCGAGGAAGCCTTGACGTGTCTTCTGCTATCGGCTGTCATCTGTTGTTTTTGGCGCGGTTTAACCTTTTCTCCTCATGCCCCTGGATTGTCTGTTGACAGGAATTTTCAACCATCTGCTTTTAGAGCACTATCATGGAAATTGAAGTTGAATGATAGACGTTTTTGTTTCACCTCCTACCTGTGTTTCATATAATTTAAACGCATATTATGGATTTTGACAGTGACATAAATGCTGCACAACAGGTCCTCCTACGATCGGCTTACGTTTCGAAAAAACTTACAGGTTTGTTTGAAAATTGATTGGTTCGCAAAGGAAACTGAGATAAAAATATCACTTCATGTTAATGTAAATATTTCTAAACTTTTCTGTGATGTTTGGTTGCAGAGGATGAAAAACTTCAAACGTTGTGTGAGCAAATGACAGCTGTTCTCAACGGTGCCAAGGATTACAATCAGCAAAACATATTCTTATTCATCCTACTGAACAGTGATGCAGATTATGTTGATATTGTGGCTGAAGATGAAAATTTCTCTCATTTAATTGATACAATACCGCGTCTCAGTCACGCACTGATCTTAAGAGTCATCCTTGGATCAGGAGGTTTACTTTTCTTACAAGATTTGGTGGCATTTGCTCCTCCTACTATATCACTCACTGTGATGGAAACCTTACATACTTTAACTGATTTAAAACAGAAACCTCAATTTGCAATTACTGAATTAGCAAATGCTTGTTTTCACAAGCTCTTTCTCTGTAATGGTGAAAACATGGAAACAGTCCATAAATTTCTTACATTTTTTAAACTCTGCCAATCAGAGAACTTTGAATGGATGAGACTTATCAATGAAGTTGAGTGGAAAGCACGTCGAGTTATTCACAATCTGAGAATTTGCGTTTTTTGTATGAAGGAGAATTATGAAAAGCAATGTGACACTTGGAATGGTTTTATGATTAAGAGCAGTAAAGATGAAATGAATAACTGTTCTATTAATGGCCCAAAACTTCAGTCAGTCGAAGAAGTGATCACGGAGTGCAGAAACATTGTGATCGAACAGTGTGTGGGAGTATTACAAGAACTGACAATTGATGATTGGCTGGAGATGGCAGAGTTTGAGTTAGATTGCTATCAGGACAAAATAAGAAACCTAGCTTATGAAGCTAAAGAATTTCTTGAGCATTTTGAAGATCATAAGAATTTAGTCGACTTTACTCCTCTGTTTGAAGTTTTAGAGCCTTTTGCTGTTAAACCCCACAGAGAAGAGGAAAAGGAAAGCAGTCCTGATATTCAAAAAGTCAGATTAATGCTCTCTAATAATGCAACCAAAAGTCAGAAGTGGATGAAAGAATTTCTTAATTTTAGTTGTGTTTTGGAAGATAGTGATAATTTCATAATAATTGAAAATAATTGTGGACTCTTAGATTGTCAAGATGTAGAACATTTGTTAGAAAAAATTATTTCTTATATTGGCAGTGAAAATGTGAATGAAGATGTAAAGGAAAGACTAAAGTGTTTACACTACAAAGTAGTGAAAGTTCTTCCTCCAGAAAAACTTGCACAAGTTCATAAAAACTTCATGGAGAAGTATGGATTGTCAACGATACTGCGTTGTACAGATTTTACTGCACTCCTTAGATCAGCATTCAACAGGACAACTTTTAAAGACCAAGAAAGTGTAAATGAGGTAAATTATCCCCTCCCTTCTTTTTCCCCTCTGATACTTAAGATTTATCTGCAGTGTCTTAAAATTTTAATCCTGTAGTTTGAAAATTGTGTTCCTATCCTTTTAGTGGCAATGTGAATTCATTGCACTATCCATGATGGATTTTGGTGAATTTTTAAGAGAGGCACTGCTTATGGCTCTAGAAAATACGGATTTGACACATCACTTGTCAAGAGTGTTCAATCTCATGCGTCCCATGTCAGAAAAAATGACTCCGGACCTAATATTTGAGATGTCTCAAAAATTGACCTACAAGCCAAACAAACTGGATAATTTTCCAGTTCTTGTAAGTACAACAACCATTTAATCTAATACTGTTTTTGAAAAATAAAACATTGGTAAAATTCACATGTCACAATCTCAGGTTCAACAGCTTGTCGAACATAAGGTGTTATGTGGAGAAGTGTTTTTTAAGAAGTATGTGACATCTGCTATCAATGAGGCAATTGATTCAAACAATTGGTCGTCTGTCTATATGTGGATTACCACTATAGATGTAAGTATTTTGTATTTTCCTTTTACATTTCTTAATTCTAATGGTATACTTAGTTAAATGTCTCTTTTCTGTTTTTTCAAGCTGCTTGTACCGTTCTTTTATTCACCTGGTGGAAGCTGTACTAATGTGGTAATCCTCATTTTGTACTTACTTCAAGTGATGGAGTTCAGCCAACAACAAATTGATATATTTTCAAAGAAGTGTATTCAGACCCGTGAGAAAACTATAAGTATCCTTGAGCAACTGAAAACCTTTGATTTAAATGGTAATTTAATTGTTTATGTAAAACTAAACAATCATTTATTTTATCCATAGATTACTTGCAAACTAATTTGTAGGACTATATTTTGAATGGTGTGTCTTTATTGATTTTCAGAAGCAGAATCTAGTTGGCTAAAATCATATGGTTTTGAATATTCTATGTTAACCAAGTGCTATTTAGAACAATGGTGTTCTACTGAAGCCACAGACAGCAGCTTTGCTGCTACTTATGAACTTTGTTTTAACTCACACGTGAAAACAACAGAAACTGCAGCATTTATTCTGTTTGAGGTAATTTAACAAAAAAAAGATTTTATGAAGCTGTGAAGCTATTGTTTTTTAAAATTATAATCTTTAATCTCACTGAAATCCCGTTAATTTGGATATTTAATTCTCTCTCATAGATGTTACCTTCACTGTGTGCTCATGAATGGAAGGGCATTGCTTCTGTTTTAAAACAGCACTTTACTTACCATGATGATCCTGCCTACTCTATATTTCAGTCATTTAGTCAAGCTATATTCCTTCTCTTGTCTGCTTGTTCTAAAATTGATTATGAAGTGTGCCCAAACTACCTATTGTGTTTGAATTACTCAGTTAGCTGCTTTGCAGTTATTTTAAAGGTGGAATTTAATTATTTTTATATTATATCTTATCTTATAACTGTTGAAGTGTTTGGTAATGTTGCATTGCACATTTTCTTTTTGGTTACAGCTAAAAGTATTACCAGAACTAAAAACACCTAACTATGTCAAGGTTCTTGAAGAAAGTTTACATCTCCTAAGCCAATTTCCAGCAGAAGTGTGGAGTAGAGGGGGAATGGATATATTACCAGACGTAATGAGCCTCATAGGACAAATCCCTCTTGAGTTGGAAAATTTTAATCAATTATCCTCAATTGTATCCAAAGCTCCACTCAATGAGGGAAGTACTCTCCTGAAGAACCGATTGAAGACTGTGTTTGAAGGGATCGTTGGGGAAAATGGCGAAAAGGAAACGACTGGATGACCATTTTCCCAATTTAATGACTAGGCAAGTTTACTCCATTCTTTAAGATTAGAATAAATTTGAATGTATTTTCCAATTTCTGATGAATTTCATGTACAACTGTAACTGCATCATATAAAATATGAACTTTGTGGAAGGAATAAAACTAATCGCCATGCACTACAACATTCTAGTTTTAATTTCATATTTCGAAAATTCTTTCAAAGTTGCTTTCTTCTTCTTTTAATTAGGGCGGCGAGGGGAGATGAGAGAGATGGAGGACAGGAGAATAATACCGCCCACACGACACACTGCATCCAACAGGTGCTCGTTGTGGTTCGGGGCGGTAGTAGGGGCGGGCGGGCTCGGAGCCGGGCCGTGCCGAGTCGAGCGGCGAGCCGGCGTCGACTGTCGACTGAGTGGAGACTGAGACCCAGAGCCGCGCGGCGCCGTCAGTGTTGGTTTGGACGCGGTCGGAGCCACGCCGCCGCCGCCGTGCCGCCCGCGCCAGTGAAAGGCGAGCCAGCGCGCGTTGTTCGTGCGTACGTGTGTGAGTGTGTGTGTGTGCGCGCGTGTAAGCGTGTGTGTGCGAGCGGGCGGGTCGAGACGAGCACGCCGACGACGCCGTGCCCGTGCGACCAGGACGCCGCCCACCACCAGCCGCTGCTGCCGCCGCCGCCACTGGCGTCATGGTGCTGCTCCTCCCGAAGAGCGTGATCTCGGTGGTCT